CACCAAGTAGCTCATCACCAGGCAGTTCGCCACCAGGGAGCTCCATCATCCTCTGAGTCACAGGCCACCTGGGAGCAGGTCAAATGACGAGGTACTTAGCCAAAAAAATTGATACATCACAAAAATTGGTACATGACCAAAAACGGTTACATCAGTATCTAAAGCCATAAATGCACAATTTAACTTGTACATGCCATAAGACCCATCATGGTATGCTACATGTTCCAATGATATGATTATTGCTGGCAAGGTTACTTTTCCACAGGAGTGTTTATTGTGTCTCCTTTGGAAATATTGGATTGGATCCTAGTGTCAGTCAGAGCAGAGAGAATCCATATTAGGTTTCCATATGCAAAATTGCAAATAAACTGTGGTGATGTGATCAGAATTGCTAAAGGAAATGATATTTTTTTGGCTGGTTGAACCTGTTAGAAGGTTATGTGGAAACACAATCCAGGGGAACTCTCAAGTTGGTTGGATCAGTTAAGACTGCTTCTCACTTGGGCTCAATGACTACTTTGTATCACTGGCTGAGCATCTTTTTTCTATTTTGAAAAAGGCAAGGTATACTATTATTGAATTAATCACTGATCAAGGTCCTTTGTACAAAGAGAAACTGTACAAGACAACCCACTATGGATCCCCAAAAAATCCACCCTCAAAAAAGTTATCTTCAGTTAATCACTGATCACTATATTGAATTAATCACCGATCACTGGCTAAGCATCTTAATGCCTGTAGATAAGGTGCACTGCATAATCATCAATATTGAAGAGCCACCTCAACTGACCATCAGTAGAAAATTAAAAAAGTTATCTTTGGTTGTCCATCTATCAAACAACTCATTTTTATCAATAACTTCAAAATTTTAGTAATGATAAAATAAGGTGTACACATATAGAGGAGCCCTACGTAGATATCCTTCCCTCTCTTTTTTATTCATAACTGTGACTAAAACATTTTATCTCTACTCACCCCTTATTTTGCTAGAGAGTTAGTTCTGTAAAATGCAGGGGATGAGACTACGAGGGAAAATAAAGCTGAAAACTCCAAGGGATGTGAGAGTCCATGTGAAGAGGTGGAGATGGTGGAGCATGGTTCTGTTTTCCAAGTGTTATTGGAAAATTGGGAGTGGATTTAGGGAGGAAAAGAGAAACTTCTATGATAGTAGGATCTAAAAACGATGATGGTGCTGCGGTATTTGTGAAAAAACCAAAGAGTTCAAATAGTGGTCATTTAGTCTATGTTACCAAAGTATTCCATTGGCTGAAGGAAAGTCTTTGTGGGGTAGGTCCTTGTAGTAAGTACACGAGGACTTGTAAGAGGAAGGGGGTAAAAAACAGAAATAGAAACCACTCAACCAGAACCTTATTAGAAGCAGCAGTGACACAGAATTGGTGAAGGGAGAGGTCGAGAAGAAGACAAGACCATTCTCTGTTACACAAAACAAAGATGTATTATTAGAAGAGGAGGTGTTTCTGGGGAGAGGTCGAGAAGAAGACAAGACCATTCTCTGTTACACAAAACAAAGATGTATTTATTAGAAGAGGAGGTGTTTCTGGGGACTGAGATGGAAGTAGAAGAAGATGAAAATCAGAAGATGAAGGAGAAGATGAGGAGATGGTTATTGATCAAGTAAGGAAAATAGGGAAAAAGATGGATTTGGAAAAGATAGCGGAAACTGAAGTCCAAGCAAATTACTGAGGATATCTTTTTTAGGAGGGGAAGAGTTTGTGAGAAAAATGTTTCTGGAATTGGAAAAGAAGTGTCCGTTTTTTTTGATAAATAAATGAACTTTTTATTAAATTGGAAATATTATCACATACAAGCAGCCTTTGGAGAGGCGCGAGCTGCGATCTCTCCACTAAAGAAGAAAAAAAAGTAATAAGTTACAGTTGTGCCCAATACAAAACTTCCCTAGCTGCCCCTTGCTTGGCTAGACAGTCTGCCATAGCATTTGCTGATCTCCCCACTCATTGTATTTTTAGGTCCATGTTTCTTGTCAGAACCTTAAACTTTTTAATTTCATTCCTGAAGCACCAAACTACTAACTTTGGCCCTGGGTTCTGCAACCAGCTTATAACAACCTTTGAGTCACCTTCAACTATTAGCTGGCTCACCCCTAATTGAGCTGCAAACTGTACACCTTGCAGGGAAGCAAACATTTCTGCTCTAGTAGAGTCTCCCACTCCTGTAGGACCTGAGAAGATAAATATCACATTCCCGACTTCATTCCTCAATACCCCACCTAACCCAGAGGGACCCGGGTTTCCTAGACTGCTTCTGTCAAAATTCAACTTCAAGAAGCCTGCAGGAGGTGATGACCAGCTTGTTCTCACTTTAGTCTTGGAAAAGGAACAACTTGCCACTGCTGCCCAATTCCTCCAAATGTCATTAAAAGAGAATTGGTGGAACAAGTCCAAAGATTTCAGCTAATGAATCACCCTAACCAAGACACAGTCCTTTATCTCTTGAAGGTTCCTTTCCTTCTCCAAAAAAGTTCTAGCATTCCTTTCTTCCCAGATTGTCCATATCAATGCAGCTCTTGCACACCTCCACATGATTTTACCCCTTTTCTGTTGCCAAACAAAAGTAGATGGATCAAAAAGCTTTCTTAAATCTGGCAAGTTCCAACTGCTCCCAAACAAAGAGAGAAGCCAATCCCATAACTCTGCAGTAAATGAGCAAGAAATTAACAAATGATAGCAGTCCTCACTCTGAGATCTGCACAGGATGCACCAGTTGGGGGAAATACAGAGAAAAGAAGTGTGTAAGGGGTAAGCTTTTTCTGGATTCAGTGATTATGGTCATGGTAGAAAAGTTTTAATATCTTAAGGTTTAGGAATGGAATATTGTGTTCTAAGGGGTTCTTGGAGGGTTCTGGTGTTGTGGGCTCTGAGTTCTTCTTTCTTGTGGGTGATAGTTTGTCACCTTGTTTGTAACCATCTTTTATTAGCCATTTGAATGTTTTTCATTTCATTCCTGTAAACCCAAATATCTTTTTCTTTGCTCTGCAGCCACCCTGTTACAAGGTGTGAATCCCCTTCAATCAGCATTTCATTGATATTTTATATCCTTTACTCTTTGTGCTCCCTCCATTACCGCCATAATCTCAGCCCTTAGTGAATCACCCACTCCAATTGGGCCTAAGAATAATGCAATAGTATGATCTGTCTCTTTCCTGAATATGCCTCCCACTCCTGAGGCATCTATAAAACATCTTTTATAAGTAAGCTTAAGTAAACTAGGTTAGGTAAAAGAAACTTATAACTAATGATAAGTAACTTAGGGGATAAGTTACCATAAGCCTACTGATGCACCAAACACCACCTAAATGAATGCTGTTTTTCAATTATTCTCTGTCAAGAAAGTACCTACTTGATCAAACTAAGAGATATTAGTTAAAACAATAACCGAGGTCACATGTATGGTATAATATGATATATTAGCTGGTATTTTGGCCTATGGCAATATTTTTCCACTCAAAGAGAATGAAATGTGAGCATGTGGGATTTTCCTTGATAGGGATATGGAAGATCACTCTGGTTGATGCATGGAATGTTCCGAACCAATGGAGGATGTGGTTATGTGAAAAAACCTGATTTTCTATTGAATGCTAACAAGGCATTTGATCCTAAGGCAACATTACCAGTAAAGAAAACCTTGAAGGTGAATGAATCTTTCCTGAGCTTTTGACTGTACAATATAGTCTAATTGTCTTTTTTTTTGCTGTGGGTCTTATCTCAATACTAAGTTTGGCTTTGGTTTTCATGTTTGTAAACAGATGAGAGTATATATGGGGGAAGGATGGAACTTTGATTTCAAGCGCACACACTTTGATAACTACTCCCCGCCAGACTTTTATACTAGGGTAAGATTATAAAAAAGTGACCTCAGTTAGAAATCTCGGATTATTTGCTTGCCTGAATGGGTCCATCCATCTGGTTATTGCAGAGTACATGAGTATGTGCATATACACGTGTATTTATGTATATATGTATGCATGTAGCATGTACATATACACACGTGTATGTATATACCTACATTGTCCGTGTGCAAGCACTCATGTGTGTGGACTTTATATCATCCACTTGATTGGATTTTATATGCAATAAGAGGAAGTGCGGTTGGGTACTCCAGAGAATATTCAAAGGATCTGATTATATGGATCATAAAGTTTGATAGACTTAATTTAACCTGTTTTTGGTTTGATAGTAAATAAGAGTGAAACAGAAAGTTGAGGGAAGGTTCTTGAAGGGATTTTATTCTATTTCTCTCATTTTTTATTTGGAACCTAACATAGTCTAAGGAGATCTAAACTCAAGGTTAGGTCCAGGTCCATGATAATGAGTATCACCTAACTTACATAACATGAGATCCAATGTCATTGTTTTGATGTTGCACAGTTTTTGGAAAGTAAAGAATTTTCATCACAAAATATCTATATATGGATATTCTTTAGCATCATCCTGGAAACCCAAGGAGATAAAATTCTCACCACTAGACTAAAACGTGGCAAGGTAGTATGCTACATTTTTAGCATCTCTGACAGCAGGCAATCAAAGATAACATCGAAGAGACAAGGGCCATAATCTTCCTAGTCCAAATTAAAGTTGACCCTTTTTGTAAAGCTATGTAGGAAAGCATGGTTACTGATCTGGCAAGCTACAGGTTGGGATTGCTGGAGTTCCGGCTGATTCAGTAATGAAGAAAACAAAGACAATTGAGGATGACTGGACACCAGTTTGGGACGAGGAGTTTGAGTTCCCATTAACTGTTCCGGAGCTTGCTTTGCTTCGGATTGAAGTTCACGAGTATGACATGTCTGAGAAGGATGACTTTGGAGGTCAGACATGTCTGCCCGTGTCAGAGTTGAGGACGGGGATCAGAGCAGTCCCACTGCACAGCCGTAAGGGAGAGAAGTACAGCTCCGTAAAGCTTCTGATGCGTTTTCAGTTTGTTTGAGTTATTTTAATCCTGTTATGATACCTCCGTTCTCTGTTTTGTATTATATGAAAACGTATCTTCTGTAGTTGGATGTCTGTATCATTCATAGTGTTGTGCATTCCAATAAATTATTGTTTCATCATGACGGAGGGCCATCTTATATAGTTTCAGTTATACTTGCAGAGTTGTAATCTGATACGTCTTGTGTGATCTGCTTTTGTTTATTCTTAGAACTGAGTTTTTATTCACTTTTATTTGACGTCTGGTGAGGTAAGCCACCACAACTTACCATTTTCGTTTTTACCTTTTAATCATTGTATGTGTGATGTGTCTGGCAGAAATCATGGAAAAATTAGACGCAGGTGTCTGCTTTCTTTAGAAGAAATTCTTCTAGACATTCCTTCCTATTCTGCAGGAAGTTTGGATGTGAATTATTAAAGCATATAAATCCGAAAGAAACAGTACATTCACTGTGAAGAGGCATAAATGAATTTGGCCCTTTCTTTTATTTTGTACCTTTTTTTTTTAATTTGTGGGGGTTGGGTGGGGGGAGAGAATTTGTATTCATCTCCGAAAAATAGCCTTCACCGAACGGAAGCCATCGCCCTGAAAGCTGCTTGATATACCACCTATTTCCCCTGGCCATGAAATCAACTCGTGAATTGTTGCAGGCAAGTTACAAAAGTTTGTCTCTCTTGGTCTCCCATCCCATCTAAATTTCCATGACCTCTTCCTACAGCATTTTACAAATACAGTTGGCTAAGTTTCATTTGTATGAACAGATGCCTTGCATCAAATAAAAATAATAAATGATCTGGTCCAAACAAAAAAATAAAAAACAAAATTAGGATTTCAGAACCCCTAAACTTAGCAGAAGTATAGGATCAAAGGTAAAAGTGCTCAATAACTTAGAGTATCTGACATTGTTTAAAAAGAAAATATCACGATTACACTTTTCCCTAACTGTTCGGCCAACTGCAAAGGGGATAAGGTTTCATAGAGTTATTCCTTCTTTACCGAAGCCACTGTCTGTCTAGTCCAGGAATGATCAGGGTGATGTTTGGTTCCATTGCTGTTGGCACCCGTTCAGCGCTAAATAGGCATTTTTCTCAATGGAATCTGAAAAGGTTTCTTCCAGGTGTTTTTCACTGTTTGCACATGTGGTGCCTAATGGAACCTATTTGTAAAAAATGCGAAGAAATGTTTTTCAACAACATTTCTTGTTTTTCAAGAAAATTGCTATATAAATGGCAATGAAATTAAACAACCCCCCGGATCAGTAAAATTTATCAATAAAATTGCTGGGAAAACCCGGCTTTAAATTGTAATGGGTTACAACTTACAAGGTGCAGACTTAGAAAGTTTTTTTGTTAGTTTTAAAAATAGGTTTAATGTATTAATGTCTATAGGATTTAGTTGTTTGTTTTATTTTCTTCTCTTTGATTGTTTATTGTTGTGGCAGTTTCCTTTCGACCAAATAAAATGTCTGGAGGATTTAGAAGTTCATGGATTAGAGTGACTAAATTACAAATTTTTGAATGAAAAACTTGCCATTGTTTCTTGTATTATATTTTCTTACTTATGATATTTCCTAATCGTATATTAGGTGTTGAATGATTCCTAAAAGCCCCCATGGTGTTGAACCATAAATCTTTTATATTTTCTTTTTTTTGTGTGTGTGTGTTATTTGGTTATTGGCTTTTTCAAATATTATGCTAGATTATCTTCCTATTTTTTAGGATTGTAGTATCTTATTTCATTCTGTGGATATAGAAATTTGCCTCCATTGCAAGCCCTAATTTTTCTGAAAGAAGCTTTATAATTATAATTTTGAAACCATCACAATTTAAAAATTCCATGCAATCCATTTGTATCAAATTAGCAACTCTGATCACATGCTTTTGAAATGAAATATAAATATACTTGCTTCTAATTGCTTTTAAAGAAAAGGGGTAGTACTTCAATAATTGGTTTATTATCAGTAGGTATATGAACTTTCAATGAAGTTAGGGGCTAGGCTTGGATGATGGTTCAGTTTTTGGTTAAAGCTCTATGCACATTAGTGGTTTAGCCTTTATGTTAATCCAACCCAATAAAAGTTGAGTTATGATCTGAGATTTTAAAAAACGGGAAGAAGGTTGGGTTGGGTTCAACTAAAATTAACTTAAGAGTTAAATTGGATTGAATTAGTGTTGAACAAATTTAATTAAAGTTTAAGTTAAAATTAGATAAATTGAGTTGAAAGTTAAGTTTAGGGTTTAAAACTTAAGCTTGGATTAGAGATAATTTCAACCCCACCTAACCTGGCCCAACTTACGGCTCTAGCTGCGATGTGATATGAGAGTAGTGTGAGGATCACTCTAATGAGGTAGGTGTACATCCGGATTCTGGTGTCGGGGAGTACCGACAAATTGTAAATTGAAATGAACTGCTGGGAAGACAGGAGCGAGAAATAAGTGTTATTTTTTATATAAAAGAATAATTAATAAGGTTTACGGTCAACTTTATGATTAAAAATAATTAGTGTATGCAATGTAAACCACTTCTGTTGTATGCCCAACGGTGACTGACGACGGAAGGTAGGTATCTTAAAAGTGACCGACTGACTGAGAGGAGGTTTCTCATCTTAATATCCCGCGTTTAACACGTTGTTTCCTGTGTTTAGTTTGGTAGAAAATAATAAAACTTTGTTGCCTCAAGGCCCTCAACCAGTCAGCCTTCGGTTTCTCTGTTGTTTTTTTCTATTGTCATGGATCGGAGGTCGACCTGATTAACTGTAATAAATAAGCCTCGGTCCATATTGGCGACAAAGTCGACCAAGACACAGGCAGAGGCTAGAGGCAACGCCCACGTGTTAAAGTCAAGTCAGATAAAAGGATACTCGAATTCGAACTCGAGTACTCGACAACTCGCAACTCAAACCTGTTTTTTAACTTTTTTTTTTTTATTATTTAATCGAGCTCTTTTATTAGTCAGAGACGTCCCACCCCGCGTTCCGACTTCCCACCTGGTGGCTGCAGCCTGCTGGGCATGGTCGGTCGGAGCTCGGATCGTCTGTCCCGAGGGGACACCAATGGCAATCGAACACGTCGTTCTTAGAAAATTTCAAAATTAACGGAGTCCAGACAATCACGGCAGTCTGGATTTCAAAAACTTGTCAATTTTGGTTTAAGCGTCTTTGGGGATCCCAGTCTCTCTTCTCCATTTTCGTTTTGCATTCTTTCCCTCTCCTTCACAATGAAAGTTCTTCTGCACAAACATCATCGTACATCGCCATTGCAATCGAGCCACTGTCGGTCGTCCGCTGCCATAGCCGGACTTGATGAAGGAAGATTTGGCCCGACCTTGTAATCATTCAATACGTGGCAAAGGCAAACAGCTTGGCACAACAGCGCACCCAGGGCGCAAGCACCAAAGGAAGGAAACTAGCAGTTCGAACTCCCCACAAGGAGTCCGAACTCCCCACCAGCAATCCGAACAAGGAGCCCGAACTCCCTACGAGGAGCCCGAACCCCCTACTAGGAGCCTGAACTCCCTACGAGGAGCCCGATCTCCCTACTAAGAGCC